GAGTAGTTTTTTCAACAAAACGATATTGTTTTGAGCATCAAAATAACATCATCAAAACAATATCATTTTAGTGTGGAATCTACGTTTACAACAATCAGTCATTACGTTGTTATCGAATTAACATCCAATGGTATGACTGAAACATAATTCAGAATTTAGTATTATATTTGAAGCAATTAAGAGTTCAGCAACATAAATGATACGCCATCTAATTTTTAATGATATCTAGTATAATTTACCCTAAATATAAATAAACGTATATGACAAACTGCCAAGTAAAATTCTACTAGTAAATAATAGGATAAAGTACAGAAATGATTCCTAATACTTTGTTAAGTCCTTCAATCATTAAAAGTTATAAAATGATTATTTTTATAATTTTAAAAAAAATAACTTAATATTTAATTTTAGTATTTAATTTATCAACACTTAATTTTTTAAATGCACAATTCTTTCCAATATATGAATTTAATGGGATATTAATAAGATAGGATGAGTATGCCACGTTTAACGAGTACTGTTGAGCACCATTAACGATGAGCACTGCTGAGTACTATTAACGATGAGCATTGCTGAACAAAATTAATTTAATTTATAAAAAACTTAAAATTCTAAAGGACTTAACGTATAATTATAAATTAATTAAAAAATTAAAGATAATTATTTAAATAAAATATTAATTACATGATTTTTCATAATCTTTTTTAAGGTAATTAATATTTTATTTTAAATAATTTACCTTTAACTAATTTATAATTATACGTTGAGTCTTTTAGAATTTATAATTTTTACAAATTAAATTAATAGTGCTCAGCGATGCTTGTCGTTAGTGGTGTTCAGGGGTACTCGTCGAGCGTTGTAGAATTTTCCAATCAAAGGATGAGTCTAGAATGATTATAACATGAATATGTTTGAAAGATTCTCAATCATTTGTCTATCGTTGTTTTCAAGCATTGAATAGACGTCATAATATTTCAAATGCGGACTCGATGATATATTGTAAACGGAGACTCAATCTACAAAGTATAACTCAAGTGATTTCGAGATTAGATATTATCATATCTCAGTTAAGATGTTAATGTGTAGCTCAGACAATCATCAATTTTTAACGGAAAAAGACGAATTTAGAATGTATGAATAGTCAAATAATCATTTAATAACTTTTAATAGTCTGACGAAATAACAAAATAATACCTTATAATTAAAATACCATTTTGTGTAAGAAATTTGTAGACATTGGACGGTCGATTGAGAGCCAACAAGGGATAAAAAGAGAGAAATTAAAAAGTAAAGTATTTTCCGAGGTGGAGAAATGCTTTCCTCCACTGAAGTTGAGCCATACACCTTTGATATGTTCATAGACAAAAGCTCAAGCAAATTACTTTTAAGAAAATAATATTTCTTGTTGTACTATGTGTTGAGATTTTAGTCCTCGAGGCAGGCGAAATTGGACTCTTGAAAAGCTTCTCAGGTGCACGAAGTGCATTTCCAAGATTAAAGTTAGAGTAAATTATGCGTTTAATACTTAAACTATTAATTTTGATTCGTTTTAGTATTTAAATTTTTAATACGTTGTTAAAAACTTTAATTTTTGTTTCATTTTAGTACCTCTTTTAAAATTTAACGTTAAATTTTGGAAAAATTGATAGTTTAAATACTAAAATGGATCTAAACTGATAGCTCATGTACTAAATGAGTTAAGTTTTTAACGGCGAGATACTAAAATGAAATGAAAATTAAACATTAGATATGATTTTGAAAATATTAAAAGTTTAGATACTAAAACGGATCAAAATTGATAGTTTAGATGCTAAATGCGTAGTTTACCTTAAAGTTATACGTCAATGTCTCTTATATTTGTAGAGCATTACATTCTATTGAAGATAAGTCAGCAAACAAGGCTGCTATGTCCCCAAACAATGTGGGATTAAGTAGTTTGATTATTTACATGATGCATGAAACCAATGTAAACATGATGATTTCAACAAGGAAACTAATTCCTTTATTTTTAAGCAAGAAATCTTATGAAATTAGATATTTTGGTGATCAAGTAGTTTGACTATTTAAATATGAAATAAGTCTTAAACTATAGAATTACGAGAGAAAATTATTTTGGGAAGATATAATTATTTTGTAATCTCCACAACTTTTATGGTTTACGTTGCAGAGATGAGTTTATAGGATACCGGGAGTGTATTTTGGGATACACTGAGTTTTGATTTATATATCAGGTTTTTGAAATACATGAGGTATTATTATGTATTTGTATCTTTCGTGATCTCTACATTTATACCATATTATTGTTTTTCTCATCAATAGAGGTAGACAAGGCTGAAACATATTAAATCTCGCCTCTTGTGTATGATCTTTTTACCGATATAGACCCTCTTGAGGGTTGGTGTTGTCTATCTTCTCGAACTAATATAGAATATGCTTAATTAATTAACCGTAGGCAAATACTGCATCAAAAGCATTTGACTTTGCACCACAGAAAATCAAGAGTCCAACAAAGCAAAAATTATTAGATGCTCCCGGATTATCACGTCATCCATTATCCCAATCAATAATAATTTTTCATTTCATTTTTATTCAAGATGAATATTCACTTCAATTCTACGTGTAAATAAAGAGTAAATAAAGAGTAGACGGTTATTTGAAAGTTATTTTAAAATTTGTGACTCTCATTCATTAGAACCATAAATGACGTGGTATGATAAAAGCAGGAGCATCAGTTATGAGGAACTGAAATATCACCAGGTATGTTTAACTATCATTTTTAGGTATGTTTAACTTGTCCGGTTTAGCTTCCTTGCGAACGATGGCTTTAGATTCATCATTTCCATGGCGAATCCGATGTTCCCCATGGATGCTGCGATGTGTAACGGGGAATTTTCAAAAGGCAACTCATCTTAGCGGTTCAGAATTCTCGGATCTCGCTGGGTTAGCACGTACAACGCATCGATAGCGTCGTCTTGAACGGCGTTTTCCGTGTAATTCCTTAGAGCCGTGTCTTCCGAAACGTTCCTCGCAGCTGCTCGTTCCATGAAAGTCCCTAGAGCTATGTCTGCCATGTGATCCCTTCGAGCTGTGTTTTCCTTGGGGATGATTGGTGATGAAAGAAAAGGAAAACGGTTCATCCTGTATAATAGCCAAGATTGTTTACTCATTCCAAATTACAACTATTAGTGATCGAGCACTATGATCATGTAAGTATTTTGCATTTGCAAAGCTTCAAATATATTTTGTGCCGTGGGGGAAAATCCAATCACATGAGAAGAAAGATGAGTGAAATGTGAACGTTTTAATATCGATTTTATCGTGAAAGATGATCAATGACAGGTAACAATTGGCTTCCATGTGTGCGACCCGGGTTGGTCCAGAACCAGTCAGGACGAAACCTTAAAATTAGAGGTCAACAAAAAAAAGGAATACAGCTAGTTCATTAGAATCACATAAATTGTAATATTAATTTATATGTTAATTATAAGTTAATCTAGTGAGATAATATATTAAAAGTTTTAAATAATGTTTAAAATTTTAATGAATAAAATAAATCGAATTACCAATGGAGATTGATTTAAGCGGTAAACAGTTTGATATCGCTTAAATAATATCTCATGTTCGAATCCTTTGTACTCAGAAAATTCCTATTGGGAGACTCACCCACCAAAGCCAAATGTGTGACCCGGGTCAGTCCATATTAGTCGAGACGAAACCTTAAAACTAAAGGACAAAAAAAAAGAGTAAATCGAATTAAAAATTATATATTTAATATTTTATTCAGATTAATTAATTATTTAATAAGATACTTTTAATTATACCAAAACTAAATAAATATAATTTGTGTACTGCCTAAAAAATATGTGAAGAGTGGGTGCTAATACTCCTCAATTTATCACGTTTTTTCAAATCTGACACTGTTTTGTCTGTAACGCCATTATATGGGTCTATATACTATGACCAAATATCGGATCTTATATTTAATATTTAGGGTAAACTATACATTTAGCACTTAAACTATCAGTTTTAATCCATTTTAATGCCCAAATTTTTAATTTTTTTCAAAATCATACCTAACATTTAGTTTTTGTTTCATTTTATTACCCGCCATTGAAAATTTAATACGTTTAGTACCTAAATTATCAGTTTTGGTCCTTTTTAGCCTTAACACCCAACACTCATGACCAAGGAAAAGAAATAACCATACTTTGAGCATAATGAAAGCATTGAAGTTTTTTTTGACAACCAGACAACTATTGCAGTCTCAAACGATCGTGTTCCATGGGGAGACCTAACATTTCAACATCAAGCTCTATTTCTCGAGAAAAGTACAACACGATAAAGAGAACTCACTTTGGTTCATTGCAGGACTGAGTATCAGTTAGCAGGCCTGTTTGCAAACCTCCTCCAGCCAGCAAGATCGAGCATCTACGCCAAAGAATTGGTGCCTGCAATCCTTAAAGCAAAGCAAGGAGTGTTAAATATTTGAACATCCCTGTTAAATATTTGAACATCCCTATCATTTGTTGTCTTCCCATGGAACAATTGGAGTCCGTGGTCCCTGGATGTTGCTGAATCAATACATATAATGCATGTCCATATCATTTGTTTGAGTTGCGATTGAAGGGATATGTAGCGGTGAACGATTGAAGATAATCGGTGGAAGGAAAGGAAAATGGTTCATCTCATTCCAAATTACAACTATAATTTAAGAAAAGGAAAATCGTGAATAGATATTGATCATCTTCAGTTTTTCTAGCATTGGATGAGTAATAACTCAAAAGGATTTGAATAAATTCTTACTTGGAACAAGACAAATGCTAAACTCGGACGAGTAGTTGATTGCATTTCTAGAATTTCGGATTAATATTTTAACAAATCGACAGTTGAATTCAGTAATACAATTGCTACAACATACAATGCTATTTTCATGAAACGGACTAATTTGGTTCCCTATACACACCCCAAAGCATGCTGTCATAGCTCAGATAGCAATCCTAAATGAATTGGAACAAAAGATAGGCATATATGTGTATAGTTTCTAGTAATTTTGATGTACCAAATTCTGGCAGTCCTGCAAAATTGTCGTCGATGCTGAAAAGGGGCATTTGCTTCAACTTTCTTTTCTTTCTGGTCAGACTGTCGTTCTTGGTCGACCTTTGCTGAAGCTGTGCGGTGGTTTAGTCTTGGCAACATCGACAACTATCATCCACCCATTAATGATCTACAAAAGCAAACAAGAAAGCATTAAACCTCTCTCTAGCTTGATTTATATTTACAGGTCGTAAGCCAGAAATGATGGTGTAGAAAGTCCGCAAATAAAAACGGCTGCTCTCAATCGTATACCTTGCCATTCATCTCCTTAAGTGCAGCACTCGCGGCCTCCTCTGTGTTGTATTCCACAAATGCATACCCTTTAGATCTTTTAGAGATCTTGTCCGTTATGATTTTAACTGTTGAGAACAGAAGAATCATTAGCAAGTAAATCTACATTTTGTTTGCATGAAACTTTATCCATGAAACATGCAAAGATACCTTCAACAAGCTCACCGAAACCTTCAAAATGTGAACGCAATGTCTTCTCAGATGTGTAAAATGACAGGCCTGTTCGAGAAGTACAGCAGATCACAAAGACCGTAAATTAGCAAATAAGAAAAGGTACAAAAACAAATCCACAGTGCCTCAAAGTTTTGGACCCCATTAAAGAATATGAAAAGACTAGGGTAGGCAATGATGCAACAAACAGATGGTGCAACAAAACTTCTCCTTTTTATATGATCCAAAACACCATATCAACAAGTAAAACAAATACCATGAAACAAAGACAATGTCTGTGTAAGTGAAAGATTATAAAATAAGATTTGCAGCAGTAATTACCTGTTATGAAAAGTTTCTTAGTTCTTATGGAGGTTGTTTCACTAGCTTCTGAAGCCTCTGGCAGACTCGTAGAATTTTGCGAAGTACTACCTGGAAATTGCGAATTGTTAGTCTGTATTGCAAGGAAAGAAGGATAAAAGAAACAGATACATTGATAATCATATATGTTGGATCAAATAAGAACAAAATGTTGAATGTTAATAATGAGGGAAAAATAATCCTAAGATAACAAAAGCTAAGAGGGAAAAAAATACAAACCAAATTTTAAATTGTGATAATGAGAACCGATTATCTTACTTGCAGGGAAAACATTATATGATATTATATATCATCATCTGATATATGAAGGTAGGCATTTCCTTCAAACTAAAAGATCATTTATCCAACTAGTCACGCACACAAATTTTATCTACATTTCCTGTTTGTGACCTTTGAATTCATATACCCTTCCTGAATTCTTGCCAAGCGGACAAGTCAAAGACCGAAACTAATACGAAATAGAAACGCGATAAAATTATGTAAGACAAGAGAGAAACCTCCATAGTCTTTGTTCTCCGACACAAAATTCCTATCTAGCTCAACAGATAAAACTCCAGGCACGCCTGTGATAAAAGGAAGAAGCATTAATCCCAAAACTTCAAACACAATTTGAACTTACAAATACATATTCAAAGCGCATATACAGACCGGCTAGTTCGTTCGCGCATTCTTCGCCGAGTTCACAACAGAAACCAAACTGGGATTGCCAAGATACATGGTATATGCACATTTGAGCATCCATCTCACTGCAACAATCATTTCACTCCAAAAATGAACAAAACTTGTGATGGAAAACCGGATTTCTTTCATGCATAGTGAACAAAATACTTACTTTCCCAACACTTTGGTGAGTATTTGTGTATAATAATCAACCATTTGTGCCTTTGTGACAACCCCAATTCCAGGCTTATCCATTCGAACAAGCCAGTGTTTGGTGTTCCCAGCAGGAAACAACTGTGAATTGTAATCTTTTTGCTTAGAATTGTAATCTGGGTCTGGCTTAACCAATAAAACCTCAGGTAAACCTACAAATGAAGAGATGAAAAATCCAAAAATAAGCAGAGATAAAGGAGGGGGGGGGGAACCAACGTGAAAAAAGGAAGAAAACACTGACGAGCAAGTTCACGGGAGGCTTGTTCGTCAATATGGCAGCAAAACCCAAAGTGGGTATCACAAGAAGCGTCGTATATACACATCTGAGCATCTTTTTTGGACCCCAAAACTGTTTCAAGAGTGTTGACGTAGTAATCAATGATTTGGGGCTTGGATTTGACACCTTCTGGGGGCTTAGCCATTAGCACCATCCAGTGGCCGTCATTAATCCTTCTTCTTCTTGTTGTTGAAGAAGAAGAGGAAGAAGAAGAAACAGAGGAAGAAGCTGTTATTGGAGTTTTAGATGAAGAAATACAAGAATTGGATAAGGAAAGGTTGAAGTGGCTATGTACGCCAATGGGAAATCTGGTTTTAGCTATTTGGGGCAATGGTTTGTGAGATTTGTTGGGGCTAAGAGAAATGGTGGGGAGTGTCAAAGAGCTTCCATGGACATAGCTCTGATCGCTTCTCCTCGCCTTGTTGAATGCTTATAGCTTCGAGCTTATCAGCTTCTTCTGAGCTTTTGCTGGGTTGGGCCACGTTCGCCATTCTGCAGGAGAAAACAAATAGGGTAAACTACAACTTTAGTGCCCTACTTATCACTTTTATTCTGTTTTGGTCATTATATTTTGGTTTCATTTTGATTACTCATTATTAAAAAATTAACATAACTGATGATATGGAAGCATTTTTTTATTTCTTTCAATGATGATGGTGTAACATCCTAAACCCTATTAAGCCTAAAGTATTACACTAGGCTACTGAGGTAACCCTGATTTTCAAAAGTCTATTCATTTTCCTTTCAAACATATTGAATATTATCATAAATAAAAAATAATTAACTGTTAAAAAAAGCATTTTATAAAATATAGATCCATGGCACATAATTAAAATAAAATAATACATCTTGTAGTTTACAACTCAAATACATACGTAAGATTCTATGAATACATATGCCCACTAAAACTACAGTACAGTACTCTGACGGAGATGCTGGGAATCCTGCTACAATGTTGCTCCACGAACTACCCAAGCTAAAGACCTGCCAATGGAAAACATCCGAAGGTTAAGGTTACGAATCCCAACAGTATAATCACTAATCTAGATCAGCATAAGAATTTCATAAACTTAAGCATGCTAAAGACATAGTACTAAGCAGTAGGTACATGCAAGATCTAGATCAAGCGCTACCTACTTAGGGTTTAACAGTTTTATCGCTATAGTTTGTGTCTCATGCTTCCCTTAGTCTTCTACTAAGAGCCTCGCCATGAGTATACAAATATTAGGTCTTTAATAGTAATACTAAACGGTGACAGAATGCAATAAGCATGATACTTATCCAAACACAATATATATATATATATATATATATTGTCATTGCCATCAATTTATGGAAGTGCCTTAGCACTGGTATTAAAGTGTCTCAGTACTGATATGGAAGTGCGTTCGCACTGATACTAAAGTGCCTTAGCATTGTAGGCATATATATGGATATTTCACATACATATACTTTAGACAATCTTCATTCATACATGTAGCTCGGGTGTCCTTATCGTTTTTCGAGCGGCAAACAAAGGCATAAGTCTTATAGAATCTTACCTCATAAGGTTCATATGTTTATCACACGTATAGTATTATTATCTCCTTGTTATCTTTTCATTTACAATATAAGTAGGTGAGAACGTTCCCTCACTTACTAGTATTTCGATTGTTCTCTCTCTTAGAACGTTATGCAAAACCTTAACAATATTTTAGTGTCTTAGGCCCTTAAGGCAATTCATAATCATTATTACCCATGCATACATAAGGCCCAAAGGCCACACAACAATGAAATCACTAACCTACTCCTCACGAGTGTTTGAGCCTCTCGCCCTAATTAGCTCATGAAATGCCTCTCGCACTAATAATGCCCTACTAGGGCAACTAAGGTAATCTAGCTATAGCTTAGCATAACTGGACTCACTAAAGTGAAGTCATCCTCTCACTAGTTGCTATCTCGCTCGTTCTCTTAGATAAAACATTATGCGAAGATTTATTAGTTTGTTACTGTTGTTATTTACTAAGGAGCTCTATCATGGTCGTTCGTTCCTTAAGGACGCTTTTAGTCACCTTGACTAAAGAGAAGTCTCTATGGTTTTCGTGATTCACTGATGATTACTAAGTTTATTGTTTATTAACTGTGGAACTAGCTAGCTAGAGATATGGCTCAGGTTTATTTCCGAGTAGCAATACTTTATTCGATCTTATCATACTCTCATTCATAACCTCTTGAACTGAAAAGATGATAACTCCGTAAAAATATTGTGTTTTATGTCTTTTAGATCACTGTCAACTGTTTTTTTATTCACTTAATGGGTATGTGTAATACCCCTAACCCGTACCCGACCCGGATACGAGTCCAAGGTGTCACATTGACTTTTCAAACTTTGACTCTTGACAAAATTCAAAGAAAATTTAAAGCTTTCATTAAAGTAAAAGCAGTTTAGTTACATAATTTGACCACAATAACCAAAATCGATCAGAGCATATTTAACTCAATCAATTAGTACATGCCAACTATATTCAAAATAACAAAAATCATTTAACTCATCTATTTTCTAATATGAAATCTTGTAAGGGAGATGTTGACCTGTATTGCTCCTCACAGTTTCTATATTCACTTTCTGTAACCTGCGTGTGAAACACTCACACGCTAAGTCGATGACTTAGTGAAGCATAAAGAAAACACATCTAATGGAATTCATACCCACTAATCATGCATGACTGTTTTATGCTATTAAATTATACAACTCATTTACATATACATTAACATATATTCATGTATATTATGTAACAGATACCATAACCCCCTATCACACATATATCATATTATGCAATTCATATCACACATCATATACATATATCACATACATTGTTCTCATATCACCAACCTATTTATCCTTACTAATTCCCTTGTCACTACTTCAATTCCGTCATATGAGCATATAATGAATATAAACATATTAAATATATTTTAATATGCCACAATACGTTACTAATTTCTATAATCATATAATACATAAATGCATAGCATCTCATATCACCATGATATATATGCACTTATACCATATCACAAGAAATACACATATCATTATATCAAATTATGTTCTCTTTTCAAAGCCCATGTACACATGTGAGAACTATAGATATGTGAGTTTATAGAGGTTGTGCACTATACTGTCACTACAGCTCGTATAATTACACCGAAGTGCCACGTAGAATTGCACATGAGTGCCGCGTAGAATTGCACTGTAGTGCCATATAATAATGTCCATAAGGACCACATATCATTCCTTAAGAATCATATACATATACTAGGGATCAAGTATGTGTCTCACCAGACTTCACACATATTCCAAAGAATACATATATGTCCCGAAGAACCACATATCATTCCTTAAGAATCATATACATATGCCAAGGATCAAGTATGTGTCTCACCAGACTTCACACATGTTCCAAAGAATACATATATGTCCCGAAGGACCGCGTAGACCCTCGACTCTTGGCATGCCAACTATACCCCTAGCTCTCATGACACATAACATGGGCATTAATATTTATGTTAACATACATTCACATATACACATAGTCATGTAGTTCTTTCACATAGCTCATCGTCATATAAATCACATATCCCATATACATATAAACACATGGTTCACTTACGCGTAGAACATTTCCATATAATCGCATAGTCATATAATATTTCATATAACATATATTTTCTCTTTCATATATCTCATATCATGTATCATATCTTGTGATCATATAATCATGTTACTTATAATCAATAACTTCTACTCATAGGGTTCAACATCATTAAACTTAGTTCACTTTTTCATATTATCATACATTATATACTCTTATATGTCCCATCAATAACCTATAAACTTACTCATATTCTCATATATACTATTTTAATATAATTTGTGTAGTAATATTCTATAATTGTATCATATAATGATTTTACCCAAGTACTCCTTTATAAAGTTTATATTACAGGTTCAATTAGTATCATTCTATCCTATAAATAATTTCCACTTATTTATATCATTTCCCTTTTTACTCACATAAACCATCTATTTATTTAGTTCAATTTCTCATAACTTCCACAATACTCTTTAATAAACTTTGTAGCTCTTCACATTAATACATAAACCATAGTTTCCTTTAATTTATCAATCTTCCCTATATAACTTATGTATCCTTATTTATGCCCTCGAATTTATACTATTCTCTTAGAGTCTCCTAACATTTCTCGTATAATCACTTATACCATATCATATGACTTATACTTGATTATCTTATTCTCTCATGTTCATTTCATTTCTTATGACTCTATCATATACTTATTCCATGTTCTTCCATTATTACATAATAAAGTTTTACATAAATCATATAGCATATACAAAGCATATCATTATCTTTAGTCATGCATACATACAATCAATGTAATACATATAATCACATATAGTTATAACCAACACATAATCATGTCTATGACTTCATGCATATTACTCTAGGAAATAGACTCATCGCAAGTCTTATTTCCATTAAACACTACATGTCACTAGTATGCACTCACCTTGGCCTCACTAGTCAATTCCAATCTCTTATCTTTCCCTTGATCGATCTTACTTGCCAAATGTTCCGGAATTGCTTTACACGCAGAATCTACATAAATGTACATTTTGAGGCAATCATTAGATACCTACACCTTGTAATTGGATACTAGCAACTTAAACGAACTTATTAAACCCATATTCACAATTTTTCTTTAGGGGGAATCGGTTCCCTCCTGTGGGGGAATCGGTTCCCTCCTGTGGGGGAATCGGTTCCCCTATGAGATTCTGGAATTTCTGGTTCGTTTGAGGGGGTATCGATTCCCCTTGAATAAGTACCGATTCTCCTAGCCCAGAAATCATATTTTCAACACGAAATTTACTTCATTTCATCTTAAACACTTCATATTTCAACCTCTTTTATATACTAAACTCAAACACATACTTAAGCCATTTGTACTCATTTAACCCATCTTAATTCTCAAAATCCTCTCCTCTTAATGAAATTCAATAATTATACTCAAATTTCAACATGTTCTAAATTCCTTTCTATTACTCCAAATCTCTTAATTCAACTATTGACAAGTCAAATTCAACTTAAAATTCAACTTATCAACTTTATTTCAGATTTCATTCAAAAACTCAAAATCTTTAATCTCTCCTAATTCCACCATCCTTGCTTTTAAAATGATTTAAGCTTTCCTTAAGCTTAATTATCATCCAATAATCTAACCAAATCCTAAATTCAGCTAAATATCAACTAACAAGAGATCTTACCTTTGCTTATGGCTTCACGGTGGAAAAGAAGAGAATGAAGAAGAGAATTCTGGAACTCTCTCATTTTCCCACGTTTATAATACTCAAAAAGGAAGATAAAAATCTTTCCCATGAAAAGACCATTTTGCCCCTTTAGTTCATCCATCTTTGCTATTTAATCGAATATGAAAATTCTTTACTTAAATCCCAAGACTTTTAAATTTCATTTCTAAATTGAACACAAAACTTTCAAAATTTGCAATTTAGTCACTGACACTGATTTGGGATGTTACAAATCTTCCCTCCTTTAAAGTAAATTAGTCCTCGATTTTCACTGCATGCCTTATAATATCACGTCTTCTAATATTTTCATGTTGCTTCCCTTAATATTTCCTGCCACCGCTACAACCTACCATTTTCCCATACTCAATTCTTCATATACGTCCACATCTTATAAGTCCATATAATATTATTCATTATATAGATAGCAACCCCAAATCCTTAATCCTCACTATTATGGATCAATTGATCTTTTCCATCATTTCTATGTGTTTGCACATAAATAAAGCTTTTGCTCATTTCTTAATTCTTGTAAGTATTATACACACAATCTTTTCATATAACCCTTACGTATTTGTTCAAAGAATAATCACCCATTCTCGTTCTTCTAATAATTGAAAAT